ATCCGAAAATTTTATTCAATAATAAAAAATTTACTGCTGATAAAGACAGATTTCTATTTATCCCAACATGAGCAGATTCAAACTAATGTACAAAAAAATGCTGGTACTTTGTACTATATACGTTAAAGAGGGCTCTTATGCTCATATTAATATCCACAACAACAAAGCCATCTAACCCTGTTTCTTTTCTTGGATAGTATAATACTGCTGCGGTTCAACAATGTAATATTGACAGATATATCAAATATGTATAATCGTAAATTCTATTAAATCGTTTTATTAAGAAAACCAAATGAGAAAAATAAAGAGTGTAAAAGTAGTGATGTTGGCCGGATAAGGAATTTTTAAACAGTTTATCTGGCTAAAAAAATTTCTCTTAACATTCATTTTACATCTGTAATTTTAATGGAGGGAAAATTTAGTGGCATTGACATTTAGTTGAGATGGGTTCACATGCATTACTTAGAATGACAAAAAAACATACATTTGCTCAAAAAAACAAAACACAATACATCATAGCAGGATAAAAGTCATAGTTAGAGAGAGTCAAATCATAGTTCTATTCGAATATAATAAATAATGATAATTTGAATAAATCTTATTCAAATAGAAACCCCAAATGAAAAGGCTTATGGACTTTTTCAAATACAAAAGAAAGTCGCATTTATAATTTAAAATATAACATTATAACATTATAATTTTTTTAATCATAGTTTGTAAACACAAGTATGGAAATAATTCAAGCTAATGCGACTAACGTACCAACTCTATTCTTAAAAAGGGGTCATACACTCCAAACACTCTACAATAAGTTGAACGGAAGTGATTCCAATTTCAAACGCAACCACCAGTAAAATAACAAACGTAATTATGATTTCCCAGTAGAGGAAATTTAACATAGAAATAAAACATCTATAGGTATATACAAATGTTATAAGTGGTATCACTATTTAAAAAAATATTGCTTTAATCAAGACTTAATCAGATGTGGTTATGATTGAGGTAATTTATACAGTATATATTAATATAGTATTTATTTCGGCTTAGTTTAGGTTATCTCATGTGATGACAGATTCACGTGTATATCGTCTAGGGTTGAACAAAATTTTAAATTTTCAAAATGCCAAGGCTCAGCAAAAAGAGATTTTCAAGGCTTTTGCAGAAGAGATTCTCGATATTTTTTTCTTTTATTCCTTTCTCTTTCAAATTTATCTTATTCAAAATTTTTTTTTTTTTAAAGGACTTAATTGATAAAGCTTTAGGGACTCCGGATCTGGATAAAACCAGATAAAATCATAAAATTAGACCAATTAATTAATTAGCCATTTACGTTATACATTAATCAATTATAAATTTATTTTATTGGATTATCTTTAATTAATAAACTTATTTCCTTCTAGGTTAGCTATGCATTTTTGTCGAGTATAAAAAAGCTTGCAAATTATTCTTTTGAATTCGACTTTTTTTATCGTCTACTGCTTACTTAGTGTCTTCGCTTAGCGGAAAAATT